CTGCTCAGCGGGGAGTCTGCTTCTCCCTCTGACCCTCCCCCCTCTCATGTGCTCTCTCTCATTCTCTCTCTCTCAAATAAATAAAATCTTAAAAAAAAAAGTATTAAAAGAACTTATCAAACTCAGCACCCCAAAAAACAAATAATCCAGTTAAGAAATGGGCAGGTCACATGAATAGACATTTTCCCAAAGACATCCAGATGACCTAACAGGCACATGAAAAGATGCTGAACATCACTCATCTTCAGGGAAATGCAAATCAAAACCACAACGAGATACCACCTCAAACCTATCAGAATGACTGAAATTAACAAGTCAGGAAACAACAGATGTTGGTGAGGATGTAGAGAAAGGAGAACCCTCTTACACTGTTGGTGGGAATGCAAACTGGTGTAGCCATCCTGGAGAACAGTATGGAGGTTCCTCAAAAAGTTAAAAATAGAACTACCCTAGTTCAGCAATTGAACTATTAAGTATTTACCCAAGGCATACAGAAATGCTGATTCAAAGGGGCACTTGCACCCCAAATGTTTATAGGAGCATTATCAACAATAGGCAAATTATGAAAAAAGCCCAAATATCCATCAAAGACATGGATGCAGCTAGAGTGTATTATGCTAAGTGAAATAACTCAGTCAGAGAAAGACAAATTACCATGATTTCACTCATATGTGGAATTTAAGAAATAAAACAGATGAACATAGGGGAAGGGGAAAAAAAGAGAGGGAAGCTAACCATAAGAGACTCTTAACTATAGAGAACAAACTGAAGGTTGATGGAGGGAGGTGGGCAGGGGATGAGCTAAATGGGTGATGGGCATTAAGGAGGGCACTTGTGATGAGCACTGGGTGTTATATGTAAGTGATGAATCACTAAAATCTACTCCTGAAACCAATATTACACTATATGTTAACTAACTAGAATTTAAATAAAAATTTGGGGAAAAAAAAGGCATGAGAGTAAAGGCCATCAAATGCCAGAGATAGAATTAAATATTCTTCTATTAATATAGAGGTAGAAAAAATGAGATATATTGAAGATATATTTATAACAGACAAATTTGATGTAAAAAATGAGAACTCTATTATTATTACTGTTCAGTACTATAAATTATATTCTTGGAAGCTATGTGGTGGCCATTTTGCATTGTTTAGAAGTAACTGGGGGTCATTATTTCCTTATTTGTCTTGAACAAAAATAAGAACCAGATATGAAAAATCCCAGGAGTATATGTGAGTACAAAATTTTCTCATTGAAAGGGAGATAACATGCAACAATACCATTTCTATAATCTCATATAGGTGATTTTTCATGATTTCTTGTCCTTACTGAGTCTATTATGTGTGGTTACATTGTAACTTATGTCAATTATATATATTGTGTTTCCTTTTACTTTTAAAAATCCTGTCCCAGAAACCTAACTAACCAGATTATTATAAATTAATCAAATTCAAGGGGAAAAATGTTCCCAACACTAGAAATTATCTAAAAATCATGTGATTAGAGTTTACCATTCAGATTTAGTGTTTCTGGGTACAAGTTTGACTTATTTTTTACGAAATGAAATTTCCATATTCAAAGTGAGAAAGATGTACATGAGAATTTGGGAACCAATTAACTCATCCTGAACAAGAGCGCCTGAAGTAAATGTGGAAAGTTGTGAATCTATTAATACAGAAGAAATGAAAGAATTTTGAATTCATTCAAATTTAAAGGCTGTGGAAATTTTTTCTTTCTAACAAAGTCTAAGGTGAATAAATTAATATTTGTCTTTTAATCCATAATGTGTGAATGAGAGTTGAATCATAGAATTCTGTTAAGTATCATACAGTAATCATAGAACAATTTTCTTTTAGAGCATTTTTCTTTTTTTTTTTAAGATTTATTTGAGAGAGAGAACGTGAGAGAGAGAGATCATGAGCAGGGGGAGAGGTAGAGGGAGAAGCAGACTCCCCGTTGAGCAGGGAGCCTGATGCGGGACTGGATTCCAGAACACTGGGATCATGACTTAAGCTGAAAACAGACACTTAACTGACTGAGCCACCCAGGCACCCTAGAGCATTTTTCATAGCTTCGTATTTATTTAAAGAGCTATACCTTTCTCCATACTTTTCATCCCCATTAAGTAATAAGGATCTTTATGAACAGAGAAAAATATCTATTTAAACATGCACATACATTATGCTGTCTTTGAGCTATATTAAAATAAAGTATAACATTCATAATCATTACTATCAATAGCATTTTTCCAAGACCATTTAAGTTTTTAATTTTTTAATTGTAAACTGTATATTAATTCACAAATTTAGATGTTTCAGGAGAGGTATATGTAAACTTTATCTTAAAATTTAAAAACTAGGTTCATATATAACTGTGATAAAAATACAAATTAAATTTGAAAAACAAAAAGATTAATGAAATCCATAAAAACTTTAAGCTAACAATTACAAATCAGTATTTTCCCTTCTGCAACATGTAAGAGCCAAGTATTTCTGTTTTCCTTGAAATGAACTGACTTCTTTGTAAACTTGCTGTGTGAAATATTGTTTTGTTTTCTAGTTCAGTCATTTTTGACACTTGTCAGAGTGTTACGTGTTGAGAGGTTTGTAGTACATTTGCTCTATATCAGAAAGAGGAAGAAAAAATTTAAAGGTTTTTAAACTAAGACTCTAAGTTAAATGATGAAATAAAATAAATTCACCCACCCTAAAATTTCTAAACAAGACAAAGACTTTCTTCCTTCCATCCTTCGTAATATTACACTCAATGAGAAACCAAGTCTTGAAAATGCAAATAGTTCTTATTTTTAATTCAAAAATCAAGGTAGACAACTTTTCAGTGTATAAATTCAGTGGTTCTCCTGTTCATAATTTGGTCCATCTTAGCTTGAAATTTTTTTTTTTAAAGATTTTATTTATTTTTATTTGAGAGAGAGCGAATGAGAGAGAGGGAGTACATGAGAGGGGGGAGGGTCAGAGGGAGAAGCAGACTCCCTGCCGAGCAGGGAGCCCGATGTGGGACTCGATCCAGGGACTCCAGGATCATGACCTGAGCCAAAGGCAGTCGCTTAACCAACTGAGCCACCCAGGCGCCCCTTAGCTTGAAATTTTTAACAATATCAAGAACATAACAGAAGACAGAACCTGAAATAAATGCTTATATCTAACTATTGAACTCTGAGCTGTGCCCCTTTTAGTTTTTATTAACTTCTCTTTTTCACATAAATGGTAAACTCATAAGACATAAAATTAATAGAATAGTATTGTATGTTCACAGTGAATAAAGTGAGAAATCATATATCTGTTTATCTTTAAGAGGTTTTATTTGTTCATCAAAACTAATGCTTTCCAATGTCCTTATTTTCTTTTTTGCTTTTGGCCCTTTGGCAATCTTTCTAGTTGTTAATTTCTGCCCAAGTTATTCCTAAGGAGGAGAGGCCACACAACTGAACATAAAGGCATGCAGAATCCATCAGGGCTGCGGGATGTCACAAATATTCATAGTTTACTATGTTTCCTTTGACAACAGGAAGAGAAATTTTTCTTGATGCTTTGATAGCTGTGGATGGGGCAAGGTAACTAATGTCTGAAAGAAAAAGTGCAAGGAACAGAGACAAAAGATGGAAAAGTGTAATCATTGATGTGGAGGATGAGGGTATTAGCTTTTCTCCCATGTTTCAGCTATAATTCACTGTAATAATGAAAATTTTCTTTATTCATATGTAAATGATTCCTACAGTGATAAGATCTATAGATTCCAAGTAACTTTTGACTAAGGTAGTATTCTTTTATACTAATTTTTAGAATGATATTTATGAAAAGAATTGAATTACTTTCTACCAATATGTTGAATAAATCAACCCTACAATCTGATTGCACATTCTGACCAGTTTATGGCAAGAATAATATATTGAAGAAAATAATATAAACATCGTCTCTCTCTTTCCCCTCCTTCTTTTTCTCCCTCCATCTCAGATTTCTGGACCAGTTGAGAATTTTACTGGCTGCATAGAAGTTATAGAAATCAGTAACTGGGAATCTTTCATCCCATCCAAGGCAGTGAAAAAAATTCATGTGGACAATTGCAGGTAAAATCCACTAATGATTTTTTTCAAATTCTTGTTCAGATAACCACACCACAAGGTAACATTTCCATTTGAAATCATTTAATCACGACCAGACTGCATTTCCTTCACTTCGATATTGTTTCCTACTTACACACTTAATCTTTTTTACAGACTATAGATATTTAAGCTATATCCCAATTAAGTTGCATTATTTATAGTGAGTTTCAGCTTTGTGCTACATCACATATATCATGTCTGCCAGCAAATGATCAGTCTTGATCAGAAAATATCATCTGTCGAAGTGTTTCAAATATAAGCCTTCTGAAAGTCATGTATGTGGGCTATTGTTCAGTGCTAAAATGTCACTTTAAAAAATTGTCATTGTGCTTGAATTTCCATTATTAGTGGCATTCCTTTCAAATAACCTGCATCTGGCTACAGAACTATCTGTACGTGTGGTGGGGGGTGGGATGGAGGTGAAGTAGAGAGATGGCACATTAGACACAATATTAGGCATACATGCCATTGGTATGAATTAGTTAAAAAAAATTTTCCCTGACAGTTAAGAAAAAAGGATTATTTATGGAGCTTTATGGTGCATTGGAAAGGGTTCACACAGGTTAGAGAGGATGGCATGGTGTGGCAGGGTGTTTGATCACAGGACAGCATAAAAGGTTGTTTGTCAACAGCAGAAACACATTGATTTCACCAAAAAATTTTGAATTATTGAAATTCTTCTATATACTATGGTCCAAGGGAAATAAAGAGTCACACAGTGACTGTCGTTAAGGAGTTTATAGTGTATAGAGGAGATATTGATGAAATATTAAAATGAATATATAAATAGGAAGTGTGCTTTGGGAAAAATCACAAAAGGCTATGAGAACTTTACACATTTGAATATCATCACATCAGCTTCCTTCACAATTTGAGGGGGTGGTATATACTAAGAAATTAAAGAAATACTTTAAAAGATAAAAGGATAATTCATTCCCCAGTGTTTCAACTTTAGGCTACACATTTAAAATATATTTGTGGCACCTATCATACAGTGGTAGACAGGGTGCTTATTTTGTTTGTGTTTTGTTTTTACTCAAATGAAAACTTAATGTCTTACATTATACACAATAGATGGGTTCCAACAATTTTAATATAAATCAAATACTCGTAAGTCCTCATATTTTACCATTTATTTCTAATTTTTTTAAAGTTTATCTCCATTCTTGATTGATTTGAAGTTAGCAATATTTCCTAACAATTATTTAACTCTCAGATTCTTTGCTCTCTACCTTTTCTGTTAAATATGAGTTTGCAACTGATAGTTAAATGAATAATGAGCAGTTACTAGGTAGTAAATCCATTGAAAAGGATATAATCCTTTAATAATTTATATAATCATCTGCTAATGTAGCAATTGATAAAATTTTCTCTTTTCAATTTTGTAAAAGTAGGACACACTTAACTTTTGTTTGTAAGAATAAGTATAAACCTGGGGAGCCTAGGTTGCTTAGTCGATTGGGCATCTGCCTTTGGCTTGGGTCGTGGTCTCAGGGTCCTGGGGATCAAGCCCTGCATCTGGCTCTCTGCAGAGCCTGCTTCTCCCTCTCCCTTTGCCGCTCCCCCTGCTTATGCTCTCGCTCTCTTTCTCTGTCAAATAAATAAATAAAATCTTAAAAAAAAGAATAAGTAAAAAACAAAAACAGAAAATCCCTATGTAACCTCATCTACCTGCAAGCCAATTCTAAACCTTTTCTTGATCTCCTATAGAAGTCCTATTTTATTGACCTCCAGTGCCATTAATTTGACCTTCATTTTGTAATACTGTTTTTTTTTTTTAAAGATTTTATTTATTTATTTGACAGAGAGAGACACAGCGAGAGAGGGAACACAAGCAGGGGGAGTGGGAGAGGGAGAAGCAGGCTCCCCGCAGAGCAGGGAGCCTGATGTGGGACTCGATCCCAGGACCCTGGGATCATAACCTGAGCTGAAGGCAGTCGCTTAACCGACTGAGCCACCCAGGTGCCCGTAATACTGGTTCTTTAAACACTATATATGACTTAATGCTGCTAATGATATTATACTTCCCTATAGTATCCAGAACAGCTGTAGACATATGAGGGGCATTTTGCTTGTAATTAGGGTTAGAGCAAGCAGAGACTATTAAATTTCTCTGAACATTTACTCTGCTTCTCTCACCAACCCCTAATAGCACTTTTTTTCATTTCGGATCACCTCTCTTAAGAGAGGCATTATACTAGATTGGTCTAGAATGTGGTTTTCAAAGCCTAATTCTGCAAATAATTGTATGACACCGGGTAAGGTTTAAAAGTTCCCCATCCCTCAGTCTTATCTGTGAAATCAGAAAAATAACTCATGCCTCATAACTCTCTGCCATCATAATGTTGTAAAAAAGATAAAATTGGACTCTCTTCTTTGTTAAAAGTTCAGTGACATTGGCCTTCATTTCCAAATTTGCTATTTCCAGAAAATTGCATCTTCTAGTTCCTCTTCCAGAACCCTCTTCTCCCTCTCTTCATCTCCCTCATTCACAAGTCTGGCTTCTTCTCAGCATTTAGACTGCAGCTTTACTATGACCTCATCCAAGAGACCTTCCTAGATGACCCAAAATGAAATGAGCCCCCACCCATGTCTCCTACTCACTGTTTATTTCCATATTTCTTTTTATTCTTAACAAGGGCTGACACTGTTTGAAGATATTTATTTGTCCATAGGTTTCTTTTATGATTCTCTTCACCATAATGTGTGCTTCTTGTTGGCATGAACACTGTAGACCCCTTTCACTGCTATTTCCTCAAGGCCTGGAATAGTAGATGCTAAAAAATTTGCTGTATAAAGTATCTTGTGATTCAACTATGATTATTTCTTCCCACAAATTTTTATTATGAAATTTTTTTTAGATTTACTCTACAGAGTGATTCTCAAACTTTTTGGTCTTTACAATCTTAAAAAGAGTGCTGTTATTGTGGACCGCAAAGAGCTTTTTTAATGTGAAATATATTTATCAGTATTTACTATATTAGAAATGAAAACTAAGGAAGTTTAAATATATTTATTATTGAGCTCATAAAATAAAAAGATAAGTTCATTACATATTAATATAAATAATATGGAATAGCATATTTTTATGAAAAATACCTATACTTATTAAAACAAAAATGAAAAGGAGTGGCAATGTTTCACATATTTTGCAAATGTATTTATTGTCAGGCTTCATGAAGACATCTGGATATTTATATGTGTTTCTGTATTCAATCTGTATAATAATTATTCTACTGAAATAGTTGAAGAAATTCTGGCCTCATCATATGTATTTAGAAATGATAGCAATATTTTCCTAACCTTTTATATAATTAGGAATACTCTTCTTTGATATTGCACCAAAACTTGGTAAGTAATAGGTTCTTAAAGGTTAGTTGCAATGTGGAATGTGAAACCTGATGACCAATGGACCTGTTATACTCTGTTAAATTAAAATCCATTGTTCTTTTTCACATTTTGATTGGATCTTTTACCCATGCACAATTTTGTACTATCACTTGGAAAATATTGACTTCTTGAGTTATTCAGCTATTGCAAATGTCAACACATATCACTATAAAAAATTCTGTGACTAGTATATAATATTAATTCATATATAATATTATTATATTATTTTCTATATATGTGTATATATATATATATTTTTTTTTTTTTGAGAGAGAGAGAGCAGGGAGAGGCAGAGAGAAAGGGGGGGATTTTGAGCAGGCTCCACACTCATCACAGAGCCCAATGCGGGTCTCAGTCTCACAACCTGAGATCATAACCTGAGCCAAAATCAAGAGTCAGAGGCCCAACTGACTGAGCCACCCAGGCTCCCCTCCTATATGTTTTAATAGTCACCTACATTTGCTTCACCTATGTTCTTAATAAGTAAATAGTATATACCTCAGGCACAGGACTATTATCATCATATATTGGCTTATGTCTTATGCCAAGTATGAAAGACTGATCATTTAGGCTGCACAGACAGATATCAATATAGTATGACATCAAGAACAGCTCAATCAGTTTTTGCACCTCTAGTTTTCTGCCCTAGAGAAGCACAGAGATATGATCTGATGACACTCTGAATAACCTTCTTAAAAATAATAAAACATTGGAAAGTAAGGAAATGGATGTTTAAAGAGATGATAAATATGATGGAATTACTTATAAGTCAGTTGAAAACAATGAAATACATGTATATGTACCCATATGGATAGATCTTGAAACATACCCCATTGAGTGAGAAAAAAGAAGATAGCTATAGCAACATATCATTTGTGTGCATTTAAGAATCTGCTTTACAGGGCGCCTGGGTGGCTCAGTTGGTTAAGCGACTGCCTTCGGCTCAGGTCATGATCCTGGAGTCCCTGGATTGAGTCCCGCATCGGGCTCCCTGCTCGGCAGGGAGCCTGCTTCTCCCTCTCCCGCTCCCCCCTCTTGTGCTCTCTCTCTCTCTCTCTCACTCTCTCTCTCAAATAAATAAATAAAATCTTTAAAAAAAAAAATCTGCTTTACATACAACCAACTTACCTTTATTACACATTCTCATATTTCTCTATATAATATTAAATACTCTAGATTATTTGTACCCTGTCTCTTTTAAATAATTACTATTTCTGGAGGAATGTGTTGTATAATGGGGAGAAGAATCCAAACAGAAAGAAATGATTCAGAAACAAAAAACAAAGCATCAGAGATCATTTTCCACTTTTTAATTCTTTATTAACAAATCAGCTCAATAGGATATTAGTATCATTAAATCAAACATTACTAGCTTTCAAAAGGGAGTAAGTTATAAGGCATATAGCATGCTGTTATAAATTTGTGGTAATAATCTAGAATCCTACTTTTAAGCAAATATTTGATTTAAACGTTTTATTAGTAAAAGGCTAAGGTATAGAGTTTTAACATTCTAGTAAAACATCAGTGCTATTTTTTTTTTTTTACAAAATAAGCATCCACTATCATTTTCAAGT